AATTTTCCACTATAGGCAGGCGATTCATGACTCAGTGTAACGGACTTTGTTTGTACATTACTCACTTTACTAATTTCTACTTTGTACATGAATTTTCACCATTACTAAAGGAATTTTCCCCCCAAGAACAGGACACAATAAGGAATGTACTTCACAAAATAGAAAAATAACACAGAACTCATAATTACATAAATCTAACGAACAACATTCTTTAGGGTTTACCTAATTCATATCTTATTAACAGTATCCGTACACCAGACGCAACATGCACGCAACGCACATTGGCTAAAGAACTTTTATATTTCCTCCAGATCTCACAACTACCGAGTTCTCGTACATTGGACAATAAGACTACGGAGTTATCAATAAGGTGTATTATAAACAAATCCCTCCGTGTACTATATAATTCGTATCTCAATTGTCCGACATAACTAATATGAGCACATGAAAAATACATTCACTCATAAAATTAAATATGCTTTTTCAACCCTATCGATATATTCCCGCAAATGTATGTAACACGGACATTAATATAAATGACATGTTGTTTATATTTCTCGGGACATTACTCCAGACGCTCAGTCATTCCAGATGGCGTACACACAAATATCTGATTCTAAATGGGAAAATAATGAATGCGCCGGAGACATATTATACGACATGTGAAAAAGGAATTAACGAATAAAGTTCAGATGAACCTCTCGAGAAACTCCTTGGTGTTTTATCAGTGCATCATCATTTCGATGTTTACCTGGCTTTATTCAAATATTACCATCAATTGGATACATCCCATGAGAACGATTCCATGCTCCGGTATAACTGTTCAACATATATATTTTCACCACGCGAAACCAATGCTATAGTATCTAGTGTTCACGGTAAGGGTTCATACAATTATGACAATTTGGAATGAAATTTTAATTCAGACCAAAATAATTATAAATAAATCAGAGGATACCTGAAATTTGACTGCAGTTTCATGTTGCACATGTTTCATTAATAAATTCCAACTGCAAATATAACAATTTCAGCCATATGTATATAAAGAAGTTACCTAATCATTGTGCACATTCATGAAGGATTAAGATTCGAATCACTCATAAGAAATAATAATAAATTTTCAAAAAGTTATTTCAATCATAGATGATCCTACTGCCTATATATTGCAGTACGCATAGAAACGAATGGTTATATTCCTTGAACAAACCCTAGGTGATTGTTCCTGGTAACACAATACGGTTATGTTAGCATTCGTAAATACATTACACAATGGAGGCCATGGCAACAATAGCATAAACAGTTCTTTCCTTCCATTGTTCCATATACTTCTCATTATTCATACTATTGTTACGATTTTCTCAGGAAAATTTGGCTTCTTACACGACCACTATTGCATGTTCAAAGTGCTACACGTTTTCTTCATATGTACACACTCTCAACCTTCTATAATTTAAGGAAAGAAACAAGAGCGTCATAAGGCTTAATAGTTCCTATTAATAGTTATCTCAACTACATGTACTGGCAATGGCGATGAAGCTCTTAAATATCATTTGTAGACAGCTTATGTATTGGGAACATATTCATGAAGTCTCTTTTTTTCTCATTTATATCTTCTTATCATACATAATTACCAAATAAGTGGAAATTACTATTTCTTCTTATCAATATCCTCCTGTCATTTAAAGGGCTCCTTATGAAATCTATTAACTTCTACGGGAATGTAAATGTAAGGATCACTCTAAGAAGCAACTGGCTTCTTCCTCATTTCTCCTATTCTTCTATACTTTCCTCAGTTCGGCTCCAATCACAGTTAACACTACGGATAGATACACTCCACCTGAGGACACATATGAGCATCTTTTTACTTTTTCAAATTACACACATCTCGTCATGCATTCTTCAAAAAAGAACACCATATTCTAACTAATTATAGTTACAATGCATCCGGTGAACCGGAATCCACTGTATAACTTCCTATAACTGGACTAAATATGTGTCAGATTTTTTTGCAATTACTCCAAATCTATTCTGGAAAGAACTTTCTTATACTATGACTCAGCATTAGTAGTTGCATGCCTTCAGGGTATCCTATTCTGTGGTTTCTTTAAATTGACATAGAGCATATTTTAATAAACCCCCTTATGGTGTAAGCTAAAAGGAAATTCCCAAATAATGTCACATGGTTTCCCATTCTGAACATATATTTCTCTCAAAACTGAATTGTGCAAATTCTTTATTTTCTCGTTTTTAAGGCATAATTCTTTGATTAATCCCCAAATATGTACCAAAAACGTTATTCATACTCTGATACTGATAATACAAAACATAAAATGAGATTCCAATATAACTGTAACAACAGTGGTACTAACGCGTACAGTAAGTTCAAATTCTACTGTTAGATATTATACTTACTAAGTACAAACATGAACGTTGACAGCAAAGTTCATTAATACTTATGGGATGGCCTCCCTAAATCAGAGGCATATTTATATAGTGTTCACGTGCGATATCGTAATAGTACATTTTGAATACCTCCTCTCATAGAGTGCGCGTGCTAGCATGGAAGCTATTTTTGAATCGCTACCAGAATTTCCCACTTTATTGCATAGATATGCCTATAGCATTATGCCTAATTTGAACATTCTTTCTCACATTAACCGGCATTAACGGCTCGGTACCGTATGTATATCGACTTTGTCTTTCGCAAAGATAAAAAATCTGATACTTCTCTAAAGAATATTTAATCGAAGGAATCAATACTCTTCCTATGCCTAATAAAAATTGAGTCTAACATTGCGAAAATAAATTAATCTATGAACATCCCCTATGGTTAAATGCAAACACGTGCATTCATAACTACGTTTTGACGTTGATATAAAATATATTAATAGGCGCCCTCTAAATCTCCCCTGAGGTCCTAAGAGTTCAAATTAAATAATTCGTTAATTTCGTTCATACGTAAAGAGAAATTTCCTCCGCTGACCTGGCCAATAAGGGTTCACAAACAGCGTACTAAAGCACTACTTAAAAGATTTTACTAAATACAGTTATTTTCTTGCACCCGTTAGCAGTATACTGGAGTTTTTATTTTAGTGTAACTAGCATAAGAGAAAAAATTCCTGTTCTCCATTGACTTGTTGATACATCCTTTACTGGACATACCATATGTTCATTCATTCTCTCAAAAAGAATCTTCTGTTTTCATAATTTTCTCTTTATTTATCATAGGAATTTGTTTCCATTTGTGTACAACTATACATAACGGGTTAATATGCAAAAACGGAAGCCTATACAATAGATTTAAGATACGTATATTACAAATTCGGAAGTACTCCTTCTGGGGCCAACAATAAAGATATTCACTGCTATCCTTAAAATAATTAGTTGTTTCATTTCTATATGCGTGTAGGATAACTTATTGATAATTCCTTAAATCCACCGCTCTTCTTTCGTCCAGATAATATTCTTACAATACCAACCTCCAGCATAATATATCATGCTAATGAAACTCATTTTTTAATAAACCAATGTTTACACATGTTGCACTAAATCTTGATATTCCGCAATAATCTAAGAATTCAGTTGTAATCATTAATTCCCCCTCAATAACATTAGAATGATTATATATTTTCATTAGAAGTAATTACTTTTTCGGATCCTTCTTAATCATAACTTTGTTCTGCAATAATTACACATGTGTACATGCCTGTACATGTATATATATATCCAGATGTTTATTTTTATCTTCTGTTATTCTAAGATTGCGTCATAATTCTCTTTCAAGAAGAATAATCCCAAATTTCGTACCTCTATCCTATCTTGTCTTACCTTATATCAGTGTCCATTGCCATATGGTATCTTTTTATACGTATGATAGTTGGTACAATGGAAAATGATATAATTTGAAAATAGCATAGTTCGAATTGTATGTTGAAGGTAAAAACTTCATTTATGTGTTCCTTTAATATGATTTCTACTTACAGACAAAATATATTTTGATGAAATTGCCATGTACCACTAAAATCTACAAGCGCCAGAATCTTCTCCTATTACGGACAGGGGCATGAATATGTACTTTTTCCCTTTCTTTATCGTCATACATAAATTTAGAAGTTTCTCCTGTTACTACGTTTAGTATACTACGGTATATTATGGATCTCTCTAAAATCTGGGTATTTACTAATTATTTGAATTAATTATATATTACTCCGATTCTTTTAATAGGGAACATTAAGAAATAAGCCGTTCCATTTAATCACGTCTTATTATTGAATAAAAGGAGTTTCACTGTGAATGATCAGCATACGTGGTACACAAAACAATACATAATAATTATTCAAAGAACAGAAGACTCCGCCTTAACATAAAACACAGTATCTGTTGAATACTACCATAACAGATATCTGTTATAATGAAAACGTGCACCGCTTACTATATATTGTTCGAATCTTCATTATATGCAGGAAAAAATAACAAAACAAACACCTGAGTTTCCTTAAACTCCTTCTGTCCCATAATCCCGGAAACCCATGAATATATCCCGAAATAGTATTCATTCATCAGTGAAATTGAATATTTCCTACATGACAATTTTCTGGAATTCAGAACCTTTCAGACGTTCAATTGATGATGAAGACTGGACTAATAGATGGGTAGGTTACTCTGTTGCATTTTAAATATTTAGTCGACACAGAAACCGTAAATGTAAAGCCGAAACCGTAGAGTCGTAAATTCAATGGTGACCCCAGAACCGTAAGTTGAAACCGGAACTCTAAACCGTAAACGCAGAATCGTTATCGCTAGATCTAAAATCTCAAGACGAAGATTTTAAATCCTGAAACCATGAATTCTAAACCATCAGTCCTTCCATTGTTTCCATGCCCTTATATAAGTTGTCCTGAAGTTGCTGGCTCGCTTTTTTGTCCTTTGTCTTGTCTTCCCTTAATAATTGCCTCATGTCCTCAGTCCTATGTTAGTCGTCCCAGTCTATCCCTCCGCTTCTATTTCGTCTGTGCTGTCGCCCCCTCGCTGTTCGATTGGTTTCCCTTATTCCTCATGCACAGGATTCTAATGCATTCGCGTAATGCAGGAGGAGCATATCCACCCTTGATGTTACAGCCCCCGATTTTGTCTGTTCTCTTCTCTTCTTCTGTCTCACTGTAATCTTGCCCGTCTTTGTATTTAATACGCCCCCACCTGTCTCTTCCTTTGCCCCTTCTATTCCATGATAGATTTCTATCGTTGTGCCTCCTTATATCTGACTGGCAGCCCCCCAAATCATTATCCCCCAGACTACGTATATTATGTTGCCTCTCCCATGGCCTGTATGACTTCATGTGCCCCTTTATTATGCCACTCTTTTGTAATGCTGGATTTCTCTTCTGTATACGACATGTGTCTGTACTCAGGCCCTGCGATGACGAAACATAATCCTTCATTTATATGACACACCCGAATGGATGATATGAAAAATTGACGCGTCCACTATTTATGTAACATTACCCTCCTCCTCTTGATTTCTCATTTTCTCCTGTACATTATTACATAGTGCTCCCCCTGTTCAGGAATCTCTCACGAACTCCTTATAAACTTCGTGGTTTATGGGGACGCTATGCCATACTATTTCGATGGTATATGGTACTCAGATATAGATACATATATATATATATATCTTCCTTTGCTCCTGCTTTGGTAGCTTCCGGGGTATGTTTCTTTTTTTCACTGAGTCTCACTCTCCTGCCTGCTCTTTTTTTTGTGTTTTCCTTTTACTTACTTTCCGAAATACACAAATAGTCAAAGCAAGAATAATACCGACGGTGGCCCATAGCTTTCCGATGCTTCGTGTCTGCTGTACCGTATTTCGCGGCATGTTATGTATTTTATCTGACCGTTGGTGCCGCTTTGTATGTCTGTTTCCAGTGACTGATGTTTTCATAGACCTCTCTTCCGTGTTTCATTTTCCTATTCTCCTGTTTGTATTATGCATACAAGGAATATAACTCATTTAAAAGGATTGTTTCTGTATCCTGTTTCCTGTATTATATCGCCCTGTTTCCTTCACTCGTCCGACTCATATATCATTTATGCATATATAAATTGTCGGCTGCATAAATCAAATATAATCAATAAAGACATTGCTTTCAATACCAGTACGGACATCCGTATTATATATATATATGGGTTCCTTCAAAGGCTTCCTCTATCTGTCAATGTTGACTTCGCGCTGAAACGATAAGAAAATATTAATGGTTCTTTTAATAATATACAGAAATATACTGTATCATATTAAATAAACTGCTTTTATTATTAATATGTAAATATTCCCTCTATTAAGCGCGGCAGATGTTTCAGGAGAAATTCGAATTTTCTATATATCAAATTTTTATTCTCCGTATATTGAGCCCCTATGCACTTTGTCATATTGCCTCTTCCTCGGTGTTCCTCCCTTTCAAACAAAAAATTACGACAATGTTTATTCTTATTGTTCGGTTTCCCTGGTTGTCAGAAAAAATAATACTAAGAATATCATCGACGCGGAATATTCGCTTATGAATTCCTGTTGTATTACCTAAAAATATGATAAATGGCCGCTGAGTCATTGGGGATGCTTAATTTCCCCCTTATTAACCGCCGTTAATATTTCCGCCCGTGTCATTCCCTAAATCTCATCTGCCGCTAATAATTTATGAAATAAGAATGGAAATATGGCCAGAAATGGAAATGGCGCCGTCTCTGAAGACATCGAAGTCACAACAGAATATAGGAAGAAAAATAATACGGTTGCGTCTAAAGGAGTGCACTGCTCATCAAGTATTTCTCAAATATGCCTATTATACATGTGCTGCGGCCGTCACAAACCTATCTGGTGTTCTTTATATTCGCTTTCATATCATATCGCATATGGCTCCTAAGTCATTTGTACTATAGGATTGGAAGGAGTATTCTATTCCTAAGGCGCATAATGATGTCCATGCATCTACATATCCCCCTTCCGTTTAATTTTTATGAAGATTATTTTAATCGATATGTTACAAATCAGTGACTTCATCATCTGGAAAGAAGATAGCGGCTATATTATGTACTTTATCGCAATTTCTTTATTGTTGGACTCCTCTTCCTCCCTTATGCTTCCGTAAGCCTTCCCTAATACTGATATGAGAAGTAACTCGGTCTTTTAGGTTGTAATACACTTTAATTTTTATGCTAGATCCCGTATCTTCCCTGACTATATGTTTAGGGCACTATCCGCTTTGGCATGATTATTGGGTTGGCATTGTGACTTCCGGCTGCTGTAGTGGTATTTAAGTATGTCTCTATCATAATACCTGAAGGAGAATCTGAGACTTCTATGCTTCTACCTGTAGGTGGCTTTATGAATTCATACACCTCAATGGACCTGTTATCTTGTGGTTTATATATATATGTATCCATCTTTTTTCTGTTTGGGGCCTCATGTCTACTGTTCGTATCTTATATTTCGAATTTTTTATATGTGGTTTTCTCCTGCTTGATTTTTCCCGGCTCCTCCTTTCCTTCTCCTTCTCTCCACTTCGGAAATTATCCGACTTTTCTGTTTAGGAAATCAATCTATAAAAGACAGCATCTCGCGCTGTCATAAATAAAATGCAGGTGTTTTGAATAATTCCTGCTATATCGTCCTTAATATGTTCAGTTAGGGGTATACTCTCTTCGCATCCTTCGGACTATTCTGTTGGAAATGGTCTGTCTCCTGGCACAAGTATATATATCATCTGGAATATCTTCGTATTATAAAGAAATATGATAACAACTCACTGTCCTATACTTCCCTTTATTTTAGACTGCACCGTCTCATGAAGTTAGTATCCTTACTGGCACTTATGGTGTGCCATTTTATGTTGATTATCATATGTATACTTTTATTTGTATCTCAAGAAATCTGAAGGGGGAGAAACTCGTAATCATATAGTGCCCGGGATTTCGCCTGGCTTCTGTTATAATGGAAGAATCCGTGGGGGAATATACAACAGAGGACTGTTCTTAGTATTATAAGTATTTATTTCCTCTTAAAGATATAAGTCAAAACGTTCCCTCTGTTTTCATCCTAAGGTATCCTTACTGAGATACTAAAGTACCGAGAGCATCAGGATGGAATACGCAACTTATATACAAGATACTCCTCTCACATTCTCTTCAGTTAAGAACCTGTGGTGTCTCCTCAGGTGTTATCTTTGTAATGCGCCCGATTATATAATGTTATACGGTATCAGAAGGGGACATTCACGAAGAGAGGAGCAGATCCATTATGGCTATCTTGATGCAATCGTCATAGCATCATAACCGCGACACTGATTTGTAGTGGTACAGTGCATCCTAACACGGACGGTACATGCATCAGGACCTGTCCTGTGTTAAAGGATTGTGTGCCACCCACGGGAAGAATTTGCTGCCTGAAGCATAACCTCTCCCAATTCATCCTTCACCATCTATCTCTTCTATTGGGTAGTATTCAAGAGAGCCCCATAGAATCGGTATAGGACTCATGGCTTCCCATTTCGATATTCAATATTCCCTTAAAGATCTTACCATTATGAAATCTTATGCATTTCTCATCGTACCTTATGACCAACAAGAATAAAGCCAAACATAACATCTATACATCGAGACACCAGTAAAAATACAGTGTCCTTCACAACCTCACATCCAATTTGGCAGGATACCGCAGTGGGAATACGCTCTGCTCTCGGGAAATCTTGTGAAACACTTGTTTTATGATTGCTTCTTATCTCTTTATATACCTTAAATTCAGAGTTGCCTCGTTTTATATCACTCCAATAAATTCCGTTAACAGATATTGTTGCCCAGTTGGCTCTCATTGGATTTCAGATATTCATGCCTCTTTAGGTTTTTAATAATATCTTTATGACCACACCTAAGTTATGAAAACATATACACAAGTACCACTAGTCAAAACAATAGTACCTCCCTAGGCTGCAGGGCGGACACTTCTTATGAATGCCTTGTTGTCGTAGAAAGATCACTTGTAAGTCAAATGCTCACAAAAAAAAAGGAGTATAGATGTACTTTTATTCCAGCATCAGTAGCATTCCTATACAGAAATTAAATACTGCTACATTATGCATAATAACAGTAAAATGGATCTTATAATGTCTATGTATTATAAGTCTTTACAGTAGTTAGAAGTATGCAGAGACACGTCTCATTCATGTAATTTTCATTTTCCATCCCTCTCTCATTAGGTACGCTTATACTATGTTGCTGGTGTAAGAAGTCGTCATATCTCGTAATCATTTCTCACACGCATGTATAGCACCAACGGTTCAATACAATGCTGCTTCAAGGGATGTTTCCAAGAGAAGGACAAACATAGAAAAAGAAGAAGCCCAAAAATAATAAGTCAAAATAGACTAAGCAAAAAGAATGAAGTCTAAACAGAGCAGATCGCAACAAACAAATTGTGGGATAAATAATTCAAAACGCAATAAGTCCGAAGCCGGAGCTGATTAATCAAAATTTTTCCTGCCTCATTAAGGAATAACTGCATAGCCGTGTAGTTCTGTAACTGTATATTCACTATTTATCTCTGTAAATCTGTCATTACTCCCCACATTCTCCTGATATGCGAAAGGGTACTGGAAACAGTATGGGCTTACCGAATAAAGTCTGTGATTTACTTCCCCTCTTATGGATATCAATCAACAGTGCGGACACAGCAATGTGGAGGGATGCATCATGAGTCATTACGGATTCTCAGGAGCACTCTATCTGCTACCATTGCATAATTAGCACACTGTGTCTTGTCCCTCCGTTCTTCGCTCCCTTTTTCTTCTGTTTCCGTAAGTCTTATTTACTTATTCTTCCTTAATTTTATTCTTCCCCACTTTTTATTTTAAATATCCCTTCTCGCTCATACAAGAGCCATTCCGCTCAGTCCCCACTCGAGTCAAAACTCCCCCTTTGCTCATAAAGAATAAGTTGTGTACTTATTTCGCCTAAATAAAGCGAAATACTGCCACTGTGCAATTTAATCGCTCCTCTCCTTACTCCCACATTCTTCCTCACTTCATGCTAGATGAGGTTCTGTCCTTTAAACGTAATTCTGGCGTGAGATACCCTTAATTTTGTTCTACTTGATTGAAAACAGCGGAATTGGGGACTCCCCTCTTATTATTCATTCTTGAGAAAGAATATCATAATTGGGATGTAATTTCATCCCTCAGAGATTTATGCTTTACTTCAGGGAATCATCCCTTTTCTTTATTTAAAAGTATATCTGATTTGGAAAGCAAAATAAACTCTTTCACTCCTCAACAGACATTAAAAAGAATTCAGAAGGACCTGAAAAACAATATCGCTGCCGTCTGTGCTACTTGTTTTGTGTAGCACTTAACACCTAGGCGCTGACAAATGGAGCCACTTTCTAAAAATGCCATGACAGCTTCCGGAGACTTCCATCGGATGCCTAACTCATGCCGGTACAATCGCTTACTTGCTTCTGACGGATGATGCCTATTTCATCATCATGGAAATAATAATGCACTTTAAGTATTAATAGAAAAATAAATTCCTCATTGCAATGGTCTGTGCCATGTTATACAGGCCTGTTGTTATATAGTCATTCACTACTTAGGAGGGGATCTAAAAATGAAGTCCAAACACTGTAAATGTAAACCCCACACATACATTTTGTCTAACTCACGCAAAAGTAAGAGACGCCCTAAAAAGGGGCCTCAACGGAATATTACTAATTGCAGAACAAGAGATAAACCTCTATTTTTGTGTAGCTAACTATAACATCTCCTTCATGACAGAGTGCGACATCAAAGGGGCTATCATGAATCACGTGTCCTGTACTGCACGACACCGTGTAAAGAGAATTGCAAATGACGTCCATAACTAAGAACAAGTAACCTCAACTATGTGTTCCTTACTACTGTTCCCTTTGCACGCCCTGGAACTTTCTCAGATGTGTCACCAAACTCCTTTTATATCACATGATGTGTAATATCAACCCATTTGTAGGAAGATAGGAATAGAGACATATATAACCTCCATAACACTTCACTTTAATTTATATCTATGTTTGCAGGCTCATACACAGAATGTGCGCTAAAATGGATAAGAGAGACAAATCATAGAGCAGATAAATTACTGTTATGATGCGATAATTTCGTGCTCATACGTTCAAATGGATTTATTCCTTCTTCACATCTTCCATGTTAACATGAAGGTTAAAGTCCTGAGAAAATGTCTCAAAAGACACACTCTAAAAGAAAAAGCCCTCCCAACTGGAAGATTCCCCTCTTAATGCATACGGAACATAGGTAATAATGCACATAGAAATAAAGATAATACAGAATGGTACAGTCGGCGCAGGTGGAAAACAAAAAAAAAGAAAAAAGAAAACAATTGACATGGGACGTCACTTTCGGCATGGAAACCTATGGGGGTTATTACAGATATCTCTATGTTTGTAATAGGAAGATGCATATTTCATCAACAGAGAGATATGTCTATTTGTGGATTTACAGGGGAACACACCTTATGCTAATCATTTCTTTCGCGTTGTGGCCTTAAAACGCCTTGGTCCCTCAGGATTCGTCGTTTTCCTCTGATGCATTGTTTCGTTCTTACGCGTTGTTTTTGATCAACGCCCTGCCCAGTTCTGACAACAGAGTCATAATCCAATGCACGATCCTTTTCAGAATCTTCTCCTGCAGGGGATTGTACAAGCAATGATGGCCTATATCTTCCATTGTGAGCATTTGTCTCCTGCTTCAATCGAGTTTCATGTAAAGCAATGGGAATCTCCCATAGTAAGGGATAATATCTTTTTTGAAAATGAATAATCAACAAGGAAATATCCTTAAGGATATTTTTCACATGATGCTGTGACTTTCTGATTCGTCTCCAGAGTCTATAAGCGAATATAGAAGTGATTGTTTCTTTATATAGAATCCTATCATACAAACAAGAATACTTAAAATACGGATACATCTTAAGCAGGGGCATCTTAGTGAGTGCCACTGTTTTGAGGCCGGAAGCCATGGAATTTCACAATAGAAAACAAGGAAGCTGAAATAATAAAAGACTTCCGGATGGTACCTTCTCAACACTTATTATAAGAGACATGGAGAATCACCGCGTAATTTTAAGGTTTATATCCTTTAATCAGAGACTTCCGGAATATTTATAGCTCCCTTAAGATCAGCTTTCTTCGCTCACACAAACGGACAGACATAAATGGAAACAGGCTTCCCTTCACATACTTTACCATTTTGAAATGAAGAACACCTGTGATTCTCAGCATTAGAACTATTAAGGCTTCTGTGAATGTCTCTAATATACTGCATTACATCATAAACAACAGTGCTAAACTATCTAACATTAAGATTCACCTTCCCGAAGGCATCTGATTAATCGTGGCTTCGTAATTTTCATCCGAAGACGAAATACCCATATTAAGATATAGTACCCAGGGTATGTTAATAGACAAGGTAATAATTTGCATTATTCATTACCACGTGAGGGTGTTGTGCTACTTCCACATCCAGTGTTCAAGAGTGTAGTCTCACCTCATATTTAACTTCATGAATTAGTATTATAACGTCGACCCTTTTGTCTACTGACTCTATATATCTGTTTAAATATTAAGTTATTTTTTTTTAAAAATGAATCATTCTCTGGTGTCTTCCCATGCTGAGTTTCTCTGAATAATATTTATTCATGGCGCCATTTTTTCTCGTTGTATTATAAGAGATAAGGAGGACAAAGCAGAAGAGCATGTGAAATTAGACAAAGTGAGGGAGAATAGAAGCCGAAACTTCAAACTTTGGCGTCCCTGCAGTGTCACTAGAATGAGACATGACTTCATAATTCTACTCTGCAGAAGTGTCTGAAAAGTATCACTATAAAATGAACCATGTGATAATGTGACAAGAAATGAAATTATAACGGCAGATTGGCAAAGTGCACCAGAAAAAACAGCAAAGGGAAGAAAAAATTATAAATCACATAGAATACTCACTTTTCACGTATAACGTGAAAAAATCGTAGGAAGGCCACGACAACAAAGAGGAGAGAGAAAAGAAAAGAAAGGAAAGTGAAACATTTCAAACAAAAAAAAAAAGAACAGGAACCATAGGAGAGGTTAGAGTAAAAAAAAAAAAAAAAATGGGAAAAGAAAAATTAAAAAAGAAAAGAATTCATATCATCCTAAAATGGAAGATGGAACAAATTAATTAACAGAAATCAACAAAAAATAAACGAGATACCACTTCTTATAACGTCAAGGGAGATCCTTAAAATCATTATAAACATATACTTAATACAATAGTGATACTTCAAAAAGGGGTCCTTGTTTTCTGATTCGGGATTATACCATTGGGATTACACTGCTACGGAATTCTATTCTTAATAATCCCTCATTTGATGCCCCTCAATTGAGGAGTGGAAATGGAGTATCCTTCCTTTAATTTAAGCCCGTCTCAAATCTTCTTACAGTGTCCCCTCTACTCTGATAACTGCACTGATCATCTCTCTCACTGCAGAATTCTTATTGGGTTGTGTTCCACTCTTTCTAGATTGGGAAATATAAATTAACACAGCTACGTACTACGATGAGGGCCTAGCCCACAACATATCGTTGTTTCGCATCCATCATGGCAGACAAGAACTCTTGCATCTGTTCCTACAATATTCTGTTATAGGCCAGGTAAAAAATGCGTCATCCCCAGAAAAATCTACAGTTCAGGAGGGAAGAGTTCCGATATTCAGGGGAGTGCACATTCACATGGGGCTTTATAAGAATCGCCTTCTCAATATCTATCTCATTTCTAAGGAGTTTGAGCACTGCTCACACGAATATAGCAAAAATGGTAGCAGTTAATGAGACTGGTCTCAACTGAATAAAGGAGTTTCTCACAAAAAAGGGACGTAGTCATTAGAGGACTTTTTATAGATAATTAACATAGAAAGAAGGAATTGTTCATTTGGTTGTTATTGTACTATTAAACCATTGCAAAATGGGAATTTATCCCTCCTTCAGCGTTCAATCTAAGTCGTATATATGTCTATATTTACACATACTTGCGTGGCTTCCCTGTTACATTGAACAGACTTATTATTTTTGCTTTACACTATTATAATCATTAGCATTAGGATAAGTAGTACGCGTTGGGCGCCCGGTTTACTCTGTACAGGATGTTCCCAATTCTTCTGTTTCTATCTTTTTCTCTTCTATAACGACTATACACATATTTGTTACATTCGTATAAATTCGCAATTTTTCTCTTCTTCTTAGAAATATATGAATTTCCTTTCATTCATATAATGATACATGAATATGTACATTTACCAGCATCTAGATATGCATTCCCCCTACTTATTTCTCCTTTCTGGGTCATGCTATATAATAATATACCCGAATATTCCTTACGGAGAGGGGCAATTTGTTAACCAATGAATCGAGCTATATTATTTAAACCTGAAGCCTGAGACTTAAGCCATGAATCCGAATGTAACCGAAACCCGTAACTTCTCAAACGTTACTTAATTATCCCTGATGAATCGGCTTCTTTGTATATATCATGAAAAAAGGCCTTAAAGGTGCCGAATACAATTCTAAACAGAACTAATCGCGCACTCCAAAATATAATTATCAATTACAAGCGGGACCAACATCAAAATCTGACTCACAAACTTGTTCATAAGACACATCCAAGGGGATTTCACATTGTCCCTGAAAAGGATACAGGGGTATTTCATTAAACACGGGTTGTTTTTTTCCTTTTTTTGTCCAAAATCGGAATGCTTCCGATGGAGATTAAGCGTACCATCATTTAAGGGATACTCATCAACAGCTACCGGTAGTCGCATCCGCTTGGACACCCTGTTCCTGTTCCAAATCATTACACACAAGGGCACCACTCCGGTACTTCTGATTCAAAAAATATCCAAAAGTAATTATGGTTTCCTTTGTCGCTGCAGAACTATTTCCAGCTCCCTGGTTCCTTTCTCTTTTAGAAGTTTTCTGACACGGGCCCACTCTTTTCGCTTAAATCCCAGATATCTCAGAAATTCCCATCGGCTATATAAGAATCCTGCACTACTAAATTCCTGGATATTGTCCATTTCCGATTCGTCTATTCGTAATAAGGACGCCATTAATTTATCTAAAACAGCTCTAACAAAAGGTTCATTCTTTTTCCATCTCTGACTAAAATGTTCACTCTTAATTTTATAGGTGTCCTCTAACTCTTTCACTAGAGCAATGTACTTGCGGCGCTCATGGATATGAAAAAACTCCCACACATAAATGATTGTTGGGCTGCTTATAGGTCCCTTTAAACTATTAATCTTGTCCCAAAGGTCCTTATCAGTCATTTCTGATTTGTTCATGTCTTTAAAAAGGGATATATTCTTCATCTGCTTTTTCCTTTCTTTCTCTGTTAATACATTTCCATATTTTCCCTCAAATGTTCCATGGATCCTCTGATACACCCTTTCTATTTCTGATGTTACGGTAGCTTCGCCTCCTTCATCCGGTTCATATGTCACAGTGGCCTCTGCCGCCTGTGATAAAGAGGTCTGTGTTAGGCTGCCCGTGGGGGATGGAATTGCTGCAAGCATAATTCTGCTAAGTCGGCCACGTGTTATTTTCCTGATGAGGTAATACCTGCCACTTGTTGTTTTTGGATATTTCATATTCTGCGGAAATAAAGGATGTATAAGTCTCTTTTTAGCGGAGGGGGTTCTGGCGTCATAGTAGCCAAAGCCGCTATACGACATCGGGATCATATCAAACGAAAGAAGGGGGTGCACTGGAAGTAAAAAAAAAAAAAAAAAAGACATTCGGACCACTTCTTACCTGTACCAGGGCGCATAATAAAGGGAGTGCCATTGCAAAGATCACCGTCCTCCAATGGATGGAAATTAGCAAGCTGCTCTTTCTTCCTTGATGATGTCTGGACGCTTTTTCATTTTTTTGGGAAGCTCGTTTGCAGCATTGTTTTCTAAAATTTTGTCTATTCCGATTTCGGAATGTTTGTGTACAGAAGAGGATCGGCATTTTTGAGAAACGATTCGGCAATTCCTATTTCTTCTTCTTCTGCTGTTGTGGTGAAATTTCCCCTTCAGTCTCCTTATGTTGGATGAGCCCAAGTCAATTTTAGGATATATTTCTTCTGGTTATCCAGAATCCGAGGAAAACTTCCCATTATGCATTGCTAGTATTAAGGGCACCAGCAGGATGACCACATGCTTGGATCACATCTTACGAAATGCCACCCGATGGGATATAGATCACTTGTCTTCTTCTGCAGACGGAAGATGCGCAAAAGATTGCGGTAAAACTCCGCGCAAAGACGTCCGTTGAATATTTACAGAAGTGTGGACAAATTCTGCACGAGAAAAAAAAAAGGAAATCATCCGAATAAATTCACGAATAAATATTCACCTGCGGAAGATATGATTAGGCTGAACGGAATTATCCAGATTTCCTTCGAACGATCACAGTTCTGTCACATGCAACGATGAATGAGTTCTTCGTCCGCATTGTTCTCTTCAGTTCTGACAAACTCGTTAAACAATATAATATATTCTCCCTTCGTCTATACAGACATTACACATACTTTTACTTTGCGTGCATTGGGTGATCTTGCCACAGACGCTTAGGTAGAGTAAAGGTGGTTCCTCATCAACACGGCATTAGCATTTGAAATAAAAATAAATCATTCAACGGGACTGTTGACTAATATATTGTTGTGTAGTGGTACATGACTAATCCGCATCATCGCAACCTACAGCGACCACTTTCTTGTGAAACAGGAAGAAAACTCATTAAAAAAAAAATCTCCTGTTAAAAAAAAAATTTCCTCTCAAAAGAACAATTACTATTCAAAAAAAAAAAAAAGAAAAACCATACCATTCCCGCTTTAGGAGAATAATTTCCTAAAATTCACAGAAGCCAGTAACGAATGAATCTGGTAAAATATTCCCGATTTTTCCTTATTTTCTCTTTCTTTCGCATCGCGCGCATATACCAATGGATATAAGCTGCATTTCTCTGTAAAAACCGTTTTTTCCCTTTCTCCTGCTCGTTTGGACTGCGCACATGTAACAGCGTTATGTTCGCCTCTGGGCCAACTGCGAAATACTGTAGATGAAATTTTCACGCCCAAAGTTTGCTAGTGGCTACTGAAGGACTCTTTTCCAAAGTCCCGCTTTCTATAAGATTCATTAGTGGGGAAAAAAAAAAAATTAAAATGGAAATGGAGAGGAAAAAGCAGACAAGCATCCCATATTTTCACTTTCTCCCTTTTCATTCTCTGATACATTTCTGCTGACGCGGCAGTAAATAACGCAAAGCTGCGTGGGGGGGCAACGGACTAATAGGTGAATAATCTTTTTCAATTCTCCTCAAATATGAACAGGTGAAAAATAAATCACTCCCTGTCTCTAAAATCTTAATTGATGGGGAGGAAATCGCAGCGCGGTCTATTCGGCAAAGTGAAATCATCCTCTTATGATTGCGCGACCTGACGTGCACTCTTTCCTAGACCCAATGAAATCTTTATTCATTAATTTATTCATAAACTAATTCATTATTTCATTTCTCTGTCCTCTAAACAGGAGCCCATTGCGAGCGGCCGATTAGATCAGACATATTAAGGCAGAAAAAAACAACAACAGTTGTCGCGCCAATAAAGGAAGCGAATGTGGTAACAAACATGAAAGTGTGCAATTCTATTTTCCAAGGAATCACTCGCATTCCATTTGAAATAAGCGCTCCATTTTCAATTTCTGATTTTCGATGGTTTCCTAATTAAGAGTGAGCACTTCTTTAGCTTTCATCCAGCATTTATCCTGCTTTGCCCAGAGAACGATAGCCCCACGAGTGGACCCATCACATGCAGTCGTTGGAATTTCACCCTTTTTTCCTCTTTTCCTGTCATCATTCTATTATTTCATCACTTTATCTCCTCATTATTTTATCCTTCTATCATTTGTCTATCCTGTTATTTTACTACTTCACTTGCCTTCTTTGTAAACTTTCCTATTCGTACAGAGGTCCAAAATGAAAATTCCACTTCCAGAAGAATATATGTAATCCCCCTACATTGTGTGAGCACTCCTGAACACATTAAACGGTTTCCCTGTTCAAATTATTCCTCTTACGGAATACACAGCAAGGATAGAATTCCCGTTTCTACTTTGTCTTCTAACAGGGCCATAAAATAAATTAACATATTATAGAAAGAGTGGCACTGTTCTCGTTGAGTGCCTAGGCATGTAGGGGCCATCGTTTTCAACAACCTTCATCTCCTAAGCCTGGAGTACACATAAGGCCATGGGCTGAGTAATATTTCTTAATGGAATCTGTCCCTCAGTTCCAGTAAGCTTTCCTTTTTTTCTATATGTAATAAGGATAATTACAAAAGCCACGTTACTTTCACGGGCTGTATGCACCGTAGGAAGGGGTAAATGTCTCGATGCAGTTACTTGTCTCGGAGGTTCTCCTTCACTTCCTCCCTTTCTCAGGGTGGATTATTAAAAGGTTATCAACCTGTTTGCCTCAAGGTGCAGATACTCATATGTGCTATCTGTACAAGAGGTGTTACCAGTGTAGCGCATTCTATACACGATGTACAATAATCCGCCGCTACATGCACCTCCGCACAATTGGGAGTGAAACAAAACCGAATTCCACTCCTTCGCAGAATTTACTAAAATAATCAACCGAATACAATGATTTGCTGTTCCTTTTCTTGTCATTGCTGAATGTGTTGAGAGGGTAGTGCTCCGTCCTCCTCCACATGCATATTCTCGCCTTCGTGTGCGTCTGTCTTCATATGATTTAACACCGGAAGGACAGAATCAGAGAGCATATCTTCATCTTACGAAACCAGTGAGTGGGACGCAGCACCCAAAACGTTTACCCCCATATATGCTACTCTTAAGGAACATTACGAATTATGCGCACTCTTATCACTTCAGCTGTCAATATTTACAGAGAACTGACAAAACTGCCTTCACTGCACCGTCACAGAAGCACCTTCTATTTACGACAAAGAGAGCGCTGCGGGGGACACATTCAATTGACTAGTTCACTTTTGAGATTGGGACTTATCTTTTTTTTTTTTTTTTTTTTTTGTTCCTTATGTGCTCAAGCAATCGTACACTTCGCCAATCTAAGAAATTTGCAATATTTTTATTATACTCCGAACAGAATAATTTTTTTCATTTCCAGCCCCTTTTAAGAATAAAATGAATGTGGATTTTTGTTAAGTCTAGAAACTTCTCAAGACGACACTCATTCTAAGAAACCCAGGTAGCATTAACAATTTTGTCTTATTTTTTAGTTGAAGCATTTTCCGGCTTAAGCGACCTGTATATTCCAACTTCAGCGTAAGCGTCCAAATATGGTCATAAATTAAAGCAGTGTGAACCGCCCTTATATTATTCAGCCGCATATAATGACAATAATGTGCGAAGTATACCCCACGTCGTAATGGTGCTGGAAAATATATATAATTTTAGCTGAACTATTCTGCATCATTTTTCACTTTATGGAAATTTCTAATTTTTCTGCAACTGGAGGAAAAAAAAAAATCTTATAGACTCAACCACTGTAATTGCGGTTTGGACTTATGAAAGAATCTACATACTTTAATCTGGAAAAAAAAAAAATAACGCTTGACGAAGTCTCAGAAGTATCGCTTCCATAAAAAAAATATGCTAAAACGTATATTTTTAATATACAACATTCTACTCCTAACTCCCACATTCCTATGTCATATATATGTTCATACTCAAATGCGTTATAAAGGTTTATTCCTAACAATGATCGATCAGAGGACGGGATTTAAAATGCAGCACAGACGGAGATAAAATGGGAACATTCTGCTAATGAGGAATATCTTCTATTGCTCATTTGTGCAGTATGTCCACTTCCGTATAATGCCAAGCGTACATTTTATCTTCATCCTTCTAACCTGTGCCCGTACACATTCAGGCCGGTTTGGGGCTCAGCCTTTTTCTTCTTTATATCCCCTCCGCGACCATCTAGGAACCCTTAAATTATAAACGATTACGCATATGTTTCTATTATTACAATTAATAATTCAATGACTACTACTGTAACACTTCATTAATTATTCCTCACCCGTTAATATAACAAAAGTAGCCCATAATAATGACCTAC